CAAGGAAGCGCACAGGAGGCTTCACGGATAATCAGTCCATAGCAGGGGTGGGCAATCACTTCTGGCTGGGGGCCACTTCAAAACGTTTTGAAGTGGCCCCGGGGCCGCCCCGGAAGGGGCGGGGTTTAAACCGTAAGGGGCGGGGCTAAGATGCTTCTGGGCTACTCCACCAACAGACCACGATTGGTCTGGGGATGGGGGAGCCCCTTTGCCCCCCCCCCCCACTAGGCCCCTATGTCCCGGCAGGGCGGGAAGAGGCTTCGCATGCTCTCCCACCCCCAGGCCACTAAGCGCCATGGGGAGCTATGCCAAGCTTCCTTCGCCCTGCCCCCACCCTGCACGAGCATATGGCACGTTGAAGTGCCGCGCGCTCCTCGCAGGGCAGGGAGAGGGCAGAGGAAACTTTCGCGCATTCCCCCCGGTGCCCAGGCCAATCAGGGCAGGGGAGCATGTGACGTCTCCTCCCACCCTGCGAGGAGCCCCTGGCGCTTTTAAGTGCTGCATGGTCCCGCCGGGGCAGGAGGAAGTTTGTGCGCTCCCCCGCCCCCAACCCCTAATTGGCCTTAAGGGCAGGGGAGCAGCAGGGCCTCCACGGGCTGGATCAAGCCACTTGGCAGGCTAGATCCAGCCCGCAGAGGCCCTTTTGCCACCCCTGGCCCACAGGGAAACCTCTGCATACCTGTGATTTTACACGTTGCAGCTAACTCTGCTCTCAACATAAAATCCAGACTCTGGACAAGGCTAAGCCCAGAACACAATGAACGGATTAGACACGAGCCCACGGTTTTACTGTCTGCAATCCACGTTGCATTGACAAGGTTTCATTTTCTCTCTTTCAAAACGCCACGCTGGGGAACGAGAGAACAGGAACAGCCTCTGCAACAAAGCAGGCTGATAAACACTAGGGATGCCAATGTGTAGCCGACTACACGATTAACCAATAAGCCCGGGCTTATCAGTCAATCCTGTTGACTACATGCACTCCCCTCCCTTGCTGTTGTGGTATGAGAGGCAGCAGGAGGGAGAGGGGGGAAAGCAGGAGCTGGTGCCCACAAAGAGCTGTCTTAAGCCAGCTTCCCACAAGCACCGGTTTCACTGTGCTGCGGGGCAGGAGAGGCAGGGGCGGCTCTGTGGATATCAGCGCAGCCTCTGTCCACAGGAAGTTCAGGCCCCCATGGACAGGGCCTGCTGCAGCCCTGCACTGGTGCCTCTGTATCAGAGGCGGCAGCAGTAGCACGGGTCAGCAGGTGGAGATGGTCTGCATGGGAAACTGGTTTTTAAACTGGTTCCCCTCGCAGACTGGCCCCCACCTGCCATTCGGCGCTGCTCCTTCTGATACAGTGGCAGCTGCGCGAGGTGGCTGGGGGTTCCCAGAGAATTGGGCCAGGAGTGCACTGGCTGCTGGCCCCTACCCCGGGGACTATCCCGTAGTCACGTAACTGCTAAAATGTGATGCAGTTACACAAGTATTCAATTACACACTAACACACACAAACTTTATATACTAGCAACAATACAGTTGTAATCATTGGTCAAATGCTTATAATCAGATCTTGGAAGATCCTTTTCCATGCCAGGATGGCAGAGTAAACCCCTAAAAGCCTGTCTTTTAATACACTATAATCAACAAGTGATGTCATCACCGGACCTTAGCTAAAGCCAGATGAGGCAGCGAAGGGCTGAACCCGATTCTGGCCCAGTCAGGATTAGTGGCTGGACCCCTATCGTCAAAGTCTTCCTCTTCTTGCGTGTGATACAGCAGTTCCATGGCCCCATTCCTTGGGAACAATTCTCACCACAGACATGACAAAGCCACTACACCAAGTCTTTCTGATGGCATATTTAGCCACAGAGCAACACGTAAGGAATCCACCGAAAGCTGACAAGATTCAATCACTGACAGCTGTATGCACAGAACAATGTATATATCAAAAGCAATCGTTATGAACTTGGAGTAAAACTAGTCACCAGGCCTATTGTTTTCCAGGGATGATGCTCTCAAGCAAGAGAGAGCTGTCACCCATCGCTCCTCAGCCAGATAAAGCAAGTTTCTAGAGTAAGGCAAATATGAGCTCCTTTCACAACAGCGTCACAAGGAGCGAAGGCACCTCTCATTCATAAACAAGAGAATCTCAAATAGGAGCAGGGAGGTTGTGTTCTCTCTGGATTTGGCACTGCTGGAATCCTGTGTCCAGCTCTGATGACCACCATTTAAGAAGGATGCTGATACACTGGGGAGGTTCATAGAAGAGTGTGACGGCGCGTTGGGGGTCCCCCGTCTCCTGCACCCCGAAATGGCACAAACAGACTGCACCAGCCGGTGGAATAGAGGAAGTTTATTGCCTCTCCAGGTTACAGCACAGCACAGATGTAGTCTGGTCACAGAGCTGGGCTAGGATGCCTCAGGCCCCCTTGAGATGGGGGAGACTGGGCCCCTAAATTCCAGCCCCTTTCCCTAGGCTGTCTCTTCCATGCTTCCAGCCAGCAACTAACTCCCTCTCTTCCAGCCCTGCCCCCCAGCCAGGGCAGCCTTCCCCCTTCCTTTGTTCCTCTCCATGGGGGGTGTCTGGCCATACTGGTTTGCATAGTGACTCATCCTGTTTTGCTGGGTCATGGTACCCATGGCATCCAGTGGGGGTTACCCCAGAGCCAGCAGCATAGAAGCCAGCCAGGTACCCCCACTACGTCACAAAGAGCCACAAGAGTGATCGAAGGAATAGACAACTGGCCTTGTGGTGATATGCACAAGAAGCTCCATCTATGTAGCTCAACAAAGAGAAGGTTAGCAAGTAGTTTGACTGCAATCTGTAAATAGCTACATGGGGAATAAATATTGGATAGTGGGTTCTTCTATCAAGCAGAGAAAGGTCTGACATGAGCCAATGGCTGAAACGTGAAGCTAGACAAAGTCCAAAGAAATAAGATGTACATTTGTAAACAGATGTACAATGAACTATTGGAACAACCGGCCCAAGTTCATGGCGGAGTCTCCATCACAGAATGTTTAAATCACGACTGGATGTTTTGCTAAAAGCTCTGCTCTGGGAATTATTGGAGGGCAGTTCTCTGGCCTGCGTTATACAAGAGATCAGACTAGACGATCATATTTGTCCCTTCTGGCCTTGGAAGCCGTGAATAGTCTACCCTTGCCTCATCCCAGAACAGTCAGTGCAAAATCATCCGGGACAAGTGCAAGTGAGCAAACCCTTTGGAAGTGGAAAGGACCGTGACAGCAGGCAGGAGATCCCCAGGCTAGGAATATGGACAGAAGAGTGTTCCAGGATAGCAGTATAGGGAAGGGGACTCTGCATCCCGAGGAATCCCCTTAAGGAGCAGGGGGCTTCCAGTGATGTTTGGATCCTTGTTCTTGTGAAATGAGCCAGCTCCACACTGGACTGAACTCTGGAGAGAGTGTTACTTTATTAGCTAATAAAGATAACCATTGGTAAGCAAAAGGCCAAGTCCACATTTATAGTTTCCTTTTGGATGAAATTAGGGAGGTATTGCTGCGGGTTGTATTGCTGTCATCACTTTCGCTCATTTCTAGGCAAGTCTCTGATCTTCCCTCAATACGCTTATAATAGAGTAAGCACTCCCAAGTGCCGTGTGGCCCCAAGAGCGGAGGTCTGAAATAAAACTGGCAAGCTGGGACACACTGCAGAGGATGGGTAAATGCTGAGAGTCAGCCGTGACAGGGGCTGGATATCCCAAGGGAATAATGCAAAGGGATCTAGGGTTGGCATGTCTCACTGCTAACCTGGAAGATAGACTTAGGACTGGCACAGCCCAGAAGTGGGAATCCAGGGGTGTCAGGCAGCAGATCCCCAGACACAAGTCAACAGACTCCTTCCCACTGGAAACAGGAGGTAACAAGGTGACTCACAGTCCTGGGTGCTCTGAGAACTGTCTCAGTAACCAGTTATTTCCTGCACCTTGTACCTAATTAACCATATTTTCCTTATTTCTATGATCTGAACTAGGGAGGTTAAAAACCACGTCACAGGTTAACTGTGTAACTGCTCAAAAGTTCAGCAGTTACCCGCTACCCACGCTGCGGGCTCTGCAGTATAATGAGCCCAAAGCGACGCCTCTCTGGGAGCAGGGCCGCTGTGGTGCCCGAGGAGGCGGCTTTGCTGGGCAATGAAGCCACGTCCCTGGGAGCAGAGCCAGCACCCCCTTGCCCACCTGGCTACTGAGGGGCTGGTATTCCTCCTGTCTGCGAAGGAATCGAAATACGGTGTCATGCCAATAATTCAAGGAGGAACCTAGTGCTTCCGTATAATGGCATAATGATAACAGCGCGTTTGAAGTCAACGTAGCAGCCAGGAGATCAGGCTATAGTGACAAAGAAGAGCTCTGTGGCAACTTGAAAGCAAGTATGTGACCTCACCCACCCGGTCTCTCAAAGAAGGGTCTCCAGATCAGAGCTATTCCTTCGGGGAGCTTCTCCAGGCAAGTATGCCACAGCAGGTAACACTGCACAGATTCATAATCACACTTACGCTGCCCTACAGACCGTTTGCCAGGGGTACAGAACAGCCGGAATCTGCTCCCGGCAGCCGCACCTTCCACTTCTCACAAAAATATGGGGAGCTGTTGAGGGTTAAACCTAACGTTCAATCAATCTTAGCACCGTTCGTTAAACTAAATCCAGTTTGTGCCGCTCGTTTAAGAGACTGGCATAGACTCTACTAGATCACAAAATGAGAGAGAGAAAAGACCTAACAGACATAGCCCATCTCCTCCTTAAAGACAATTAACCCTTTGTCCTTCCCACACACCAAGCTGGCAACTATTATACTGACACTAAACAATGCATGTGTGCAGTGGAGTTGTAGTCATGTAGATATTAAAATCACACTTCCCATCAAATGGCAAAACTGAAATTAGCTACATGTAAATAAAAATGAAAGCAAGAAAAGCTTTTACTGTGCTGTCTTCAGAGACACATTCAAAACACACACCCCATCACGCTGCTCCTTTAAACTGAGGTATCGTACCTTATCACATCCGGCTCTGTGCCATCATTCTTATAAGATGCTTGAAGTTGTCTCTGCCGCGTGAGAAGGTCATCCACTAAGTTTTGCCTTCTGTCCCCCTCCAGCTGCGTTCTAGAGGCAGGTTAAGGGCCAATCTCAGAAATAAAAGCATATTTAAAAGTTATATTTCCAACGTTAAAAGCATCGCTCTCATAAGTCACCTCTTAGTGCAATATCGAAGCCAGTCAGGAAAAAAGTATTTGTAAAGAGCAAGAGATTAAAGTAGACATCGCCCTAAAAGCACACCCCTTTTCACTTGACAAAGATTTATAAACACTCTTCATCGATAAGACAGTCGGGCTGCATGGCTTTTAAAAGCAAGAGGCATAAATTAGTATAGCATCGTCTTCACAACTTAACTATAAAACACAGGGGGTCACCGCCACTTTACCAAAAGGCCTCTAGCATAAACCCATTTCTGCAATTTACAATACCTTAAAGAAAGAAGAAATCATGATTTGCCTTGAGAAAGTGTCCAGAGAGCACAAACTGACGGGGACAGGGGGGAGTTTGGGTTTTTTTGCACACTGAATTAATGTAAAAATTGAGAGCAGTAAATGCCCCCCAAAAAAATCAAAAATCACTAAGCATATGATTTGTTCTACAATTTAGTCCGCATGCAAAAACAAGACGTAGAGAGTTTAAGTTTAACAGAACAAAGAATGAGTCTTCCTACACCTGCCCAGTACATAGCACATTTTAAGTGCTACTACAATATCACCACCAACCCACCAATCCCATCCAGTTGGTCAGTTTGATTCAGCAAAGCTCTCAGTATGTTAACTATTTTACCAGGTGATGATACAGACCCTAGTCCTTCCCTAGCTCACTAGCTGGTCAGCAAAAGACGTTATTTAAAGGATGCTTCCATTTACAGAATTATAGCACTCGCGCTCCCCAGTAGCAGCTGAAGGAGGACTTGCTGCTTTTGAAGAAAATGACTCAATTAATTCATAGCCTTAGAATGTAACATTTCTGAGAATGCTGCTGCGCTTCAATTTTTTAAATTTTATCAACTCAGTGACACCCATTTTAAGGGGGCTTAGTGCCCTCTCTCGAAGCAGAGTTGTAATTTGAGCAGGTGCATGGCTTGTAATTTGAGTTGTAATTTGAGCAGAATGATTCCTATTTGCTTTCTTACATAGCAGTGCCATGTATCTGCTCCCAAGTGATATTCTCAAATGGAAGGATACTCGTATCCCTGCATTCAGTGCAACATTCTCAAAGTTCAAGTTCCAATGAAAACTGCTGGCTTGTTGCGGCTAAATACACATCTCAAATCCTACACTCCCGAATCAAATGTGAATACGAGGGTCCAATACGCCCAAGGCCAATGGATCACTTTCATGACCATCATAAACCAGCTTGCAAGTAAGGTGCCTTCAAATGGCTCCTGGCTATGAGCACACGGGAGACATGAAACAGACAGACTGGACAACACAGAGGCACACAAAAAAAACAGAAGGACAATCTGGCACTAGCAATTACTCCCTGAGAATTAAGGAACAAGGAGAAGCCAATGATGTCAAGATAAAAAAGGTAAAACATTTTGAACACAAAGCATAAATAACTTGTGAATCTCACTGTCAATACAGCCAAGAGCTTAGTAGGACTTCAACAAGTACCAGACTTTTGAATGATGTTAGGAGAATGTTCCAGAAAGTAAAGTCTCAGAGGGTTAGCTGTGTTAATCTGTATCTGAAAAAACATTAACACACGAGTGGCTCTGTAGCACCTTAAGAGACTAACAAAAAAATATATAGCTAGTATCTTGAGCTTCCGTGGGCACAACTCACTCCTGCATCTGTGCCCACAAAAGCTCACGATACTAGTCTCTAAGGTGCTACATGACCTCTCATTGTTTAAGTTTTTTTTCCAGAACGTAAAGGTAATTGTCAATTTCAAATCTTTTCTTCTTCATTCAAGACCGATAATTTCATCCTACCTTGCGACAAATGAGCACCCTTGCTGTTTCTCGTATTACACTAGGATTGTAGTAGCTCTTCAAGGGAGACACGGGGTCTCTATCCCCGCCCTGCAAGGGAGCGCTGCATTTAGAGTCAGCTGGCAGTTGACTTTAAGTGCACGGGGTGACCACTTTGAGGCACCCTGAATGGATCAGATTTTCAGATTCTCAGTGTTCAGTGTTTATGAGCATTAGAGCACTCCATGAAAATCACTACTCATTTATGAAAATGTAGGCCGGATATTTAATTGGTCATAGCAGGAGCTAAACAAGTGACCCACTCTATGACAACCGAGAGCCAATTTACTCCACCCCCTGCCCTCTCCCCCCCCACTTGAATTTGGCCACGTGTCTCTATTTTGGGTCAGCTGGACTGGTGCCAGAGATTGTCAGACCCACAGGAATGCTATCAGGCTGCTTTTCCAGCCACGTGCAGGAGCGAGTAGATCAGGACATGAATGGGGAAGAAGTTACACATCCTATCTCTAGCCAACTCTTGCAGCCAAAAGAGCAGAAAACATCAACAGTGCTGTACTTGACCAGGATTTCTGTGGAGTCCCCCTATGGAGACAGCCATGCCCGCTATCCAGCAGCCCTATTTCCCTCCATACCATCTATGGAAGGAGTTCCAATTTTGGGCACAGGCTTCGTGCACGGCCGTGGGATCACACCCTGAGCACAGCCGACCTGCAACTTCTTTTACAACTGAACTGCGAGAAGCTTAAGAAAACACACAGCCCAGTTGTCTCTCCAAATGAGCCTCAGAGCAGCCAGTGTTTCAGAGCGGATCACGCACTGGAGTTGTACCAGCACAATCACTCCAACACTACAAAATGAGTCAGAAGTCAAGATTGCAGGCAACATTTTAGTAGTTGGGCCTCCTAGAGTTGGGGGGAAGGGGAGGCGGGAGGAGAGAGTTAACTGCAGCTTCCTTCCCAAAAGAGTCTGTTTTTCCACCCACTCCCAGGATACTAGAAAACACAGCATGATACTATTTACATGGATACATCTGACGTGTTGATATAGAGCGAAGCAGTAAGTCCTTCAGCTGGTCGATCTTTTCCTTGAGATTCTGCAACAATGACCGGATTGTCACATTAAGCTGAAGGGAAAACAAAGACCAGGTTAGTCATACAAACAGCCATATTCAAATGACACCGCAGAACACTACAAACCACACTGCACATCACGCGAGGATTCCTTCCGACACCGAGAGGAGCCTGCACTGAGAACAACAGATGTGCTGCTACATACAAGCAGTGCTGTTTGGGATTTGTTTACAAAACAATTAGATTTCAACCTTGATTTTGCAACTAGTTATTTTAGAGAACTCACGCTATGAGATTTTTCTGCCAAATGCCCATAAATTCATTCAATGTGCTGGAATATTTTGCTATTGTCCATTAATTTTCTAGTTCTTTATTCCACTTCTTCAGGGAAATATGGATCTCTGCTTTTTCTGTGGCAGAGACCTACTGGCTCCTACATTTTAGTGAAGGTTACTGTTAGAGGTTCAGAGATCCCTCCCGGTGGTTCTCTCTACTTCTCCAGTGGATTTCTTCTCTGATTTCATCTCTATTTAGTGTTATTGCCCGACACTTGTTTACCATCTTTGCCCATCCTTGACTCCTAGACTCTCTGATAATTCATATTCTTGTTGCTCGCATAAGGTTCTTAGATTTCTCTTTTTTTACTGTAAACATAATAAAAAAGTTATTCTCTTCCACGCGAGTGAACACTCTTGCAATGTTCTGGCGCCCTTGGAGTTCTCTCACCCTTTTCACTTTTATTCTGTAGAAAATCTACATTTTTCCTCCACTTGTTTTTCCTTGAGCACTGTTCTCTTTGGGTATGTCTACACTTGCACCTTCTTTCGAGAAAGGGATGGAAAAGCAGCAGAGCGAAATCTCAATTGAAGCGCAGATTTGAATTTCCCACGCTTCACTTGCATATTCACGTTATGGCACTATTTCGAAATAGCACTATTTCGAAAAAAGAAACGCTGTCTAAACACGGTTATTTCGAAAGAAAACCCTTCTTCTGAAATAACTGGTAAACCTCGTTGTAGGAGGAATAAGGGTTATTTCGAAAGAAGGGTTTCCTTTCCAAATAACCGCGTCTAGACAGCCTTTTTTTGAAATAGCGCTATTTCAAAATAGCAGCATAACGCGAATATGCAAATGAAACGCAGGAAATTCAAATCCGCGCTTCATTTGCAATTTCGCTCAGTTGCATTTGCATCCCTCTCTCGAAAGAGAATACGAGTGTAGACATACCCTTTGATTCAGCGAACGAGAGGAAAAGCATATATTGCAAACTAGATTCGGCAATCACCCAAGTGACAGGCTTGCACGGGTCGAGAAGGGCCTCTTGCTTACAAGGCAAGAACTGTACTGTGGACGATTACTCAAAGAAAGGCTACATGCACTTCCCCGTGACAGGCAATTCTTGTAACCAGCTGTACTTGGTTTCAGCACAGAGGTGATTGGGCAATTCCAGAAGTGCTTCATTGACTCAGGCGCCTGAATCCACCTTCTCTACTACAACTTTCCCTAGTCACAGCAAATACAATTGATGAGCCTAGCATTTCTCGAAGTGAGTTCTTGTGATCAGAACAAATATCCCACTGCAGGAAATTTGTTTAAAGCAGCCAAACACCGCCAACACTTATCTTTCACTGTTCTGAGAGCAAATTCCTCTCGCTCCATTAACACACAAAACACGGAAAAATATCTTCAGAGAATCATTGTAACCGACTGTGGAATGTTTTCATAATATACAGGGTACAAAGCTTACAAGGCCAGACAACTGAGACAACACAGGTGCAGCCCTTTTTAGTGTATCATTTTTAATCAGACTGTCATGTTGAATGAGAGGATGAAGTGCTCCATCCAAGCTCTGTCCACACCTGTGCGAAGGTCGGTGTAACTTACATCACTTGGGGTGGGCTTATTCACACCCTGAGCGATACACACTATATTGACCCAACCTGTAGGGTAGCCATAGCCTAAGCTTCTTTGTCATTATTATTTCATGAGAGCTCTCTCTTGGAAGGTGTTTCTCCCCCTCCCTCACTTGGCTAGGAAACCCAAGGACTGTGCTTTCAAAGGACAAGAAATCAGCTACGCTGGTCAAAGTCTCCTGTTTCAATAAAGCCCTAAAATTCCATTTCCAGGACATCCCAAGGGGCAATCTACTGTCCTACGCCAGACACCAATTAGAGAGAACTGCTTACAGGCTTTGGATGATTCCCTGTTCTGGTCACCCCCTCTGGAGCACCTGGCATTGGCCACTGTCGGCAGACAGGACACTGGGCTAGATGGATCTTTGGTCTGACCCAGTCTGGCCAATCTTCTGTTATGCCCTTTTGCTTTAATTACTGACCTCCATATTCCACTTCTAGCTCCCCTTTTGGGTCTGAAGCCCATCCATACAGTAATCAAGCATAAGAACACAACTAATTACATTGGTTTTCTTATTGCTCATTCTTAAGAACTCGAGTTAACTTAAAGTGGAAGGTCCAATCCTGCAAAGATATATGCACATGCCTAGCTTTATATACAGGGTGACCAGTGTGGAGTGACACAGGAGGGGAGGAGGGGCAGGGCACCAGCCACATGACTGCCGCCCCAACAAGCCACCTCCTCATGCCAACTTTAGCCCAGGGGAGGACTGGGCCAATCCCCCTCCAGCCTAGCCCCAGCCCTGCTCTGCCTCCCCCCTACTCCGCCCTCTTCCTTCAAGTCCCCTCAAGCGACATGGCTTAGGAGGCTCATGGAGGCCTAGCAGTGGCAGCAGGAAATTGGTTCCTCCACACTCACTGGCTGGTGGGAGCGGAGCGATGCAGCCCTAGCCCACTCCAGTCTCCTGGCTGCCCACCTGCCTGCCTGCACCACCGCAGGGAATCTGCCCAGAGCAGCACCCCAAGCCCCTAGCCCTGTGCCTCCCACATCCTAACTCCGGCTAAGAATCCATTTGCAATTTCGCTCAGTTGCACACAGACACACACACAGACAGACACACAGACACACACACACAGACACACACACACACACACACCCTGAGCCCAGGCCTGCCACGAATTCCAGACCCCAAAGCACAACACTCAGCGGGCCCCCACTGGTGCCCAGTCTGCTGCCAACGATACTGCTGGGTGCACACATCTTGCAGGGCCAGGTCTGTTCTGAATAAGTGAAGCAACCGCCAGACCACTAGCATGCTAAGGACATTGGCAGTTCACAGAACCGTCCCTCTGGCACGCATGTCAACACCACACGGAGCTCAGCTCTCACGCCACACAAAGAACAAGCCGGGCTCTCATCGCAAACAGCAGTGCAGTATGATGCCGGCAAGGAAAGGAGAGTAAAAGGCATTCACTCAGCTTGACTCAATGGCTACGTCTAGACTGGCATGATTTTCCAGAAATGCTTTTTTGCGGAAAAGCGCGTCTAGATTGGCCATGGACGCTTTTCCGCAAAAAGCGCTTTTTGCGGAAAAGCGTCTGTGGCCAATCTAGACGCGCTTTTCCGCAAAAAAGCCCCGATTGCCATTTTCACGATCAGGGCTGTTTTGCGGGAAAAAAATCTCTGCTGTCTACACTGGCCCTTTTGCGCAAAAGTTTTTCGGAAAAGACTTTTGCCCAAACGGGAGCAGCATAGTATTTCTGCAAAAGCACTGACAATCTTACATGAGATCGTCAGTGCTTTTGCGGAAATTCAAGTGACCAGTGTAGACAGCTGGCAAGTTTTTCCGCAAAAGCAGATGATTTTGCGGAAAAACTTGCCAGTCTAGACACAGCCAATTTCTTTGGGATGCCAACGCTTTATTTGCTTAACATTTAACACACACAGAATAGTAAGAATAGGTAATGAAGCGACACACAACGCAAAATAAACCACAAGCTAACTTCCCCTTTGAGTCTGTAAAACTGTGCATGTGCTTACATCTTGACAGGCCTTGGTGTATACTGAGTGGGTGAAAAATACTGAATTGCCTTCTCTTCCAGAAAGGTACCCAATTTTGATAGAATTAACTAGAAAACCTAAATTAAAAGAGATGTTTACAAATACTAGCTCTTTCAGGAACATAGGATACCTTAGTTGAATTTTCACCATTTCTTTGACATCGGTTACGTTCCTGGATTTTTTCAGCAATCTCTTGTGCAATGTAACAGGTGGAATCGTACATCGACAGCCTGTAAACAGAATGTTTTCAGATAGCTAAGATAATTCTCTCCAGTCATCTCTGTGTCGAGAATCTTGGTTTGAGTCTCTTCTCTCAATCAAGGGTTTAGGGCAGGGATGGGCAAAATATAGACCGTCTGACATTTCTGTCCAGCCCACCTGACTCTTGGCAATTGAAGAAACTACTTTGGCTGCTACCATGGCAGGGGCTGGAGCACCAGGCCCTTTAAATTGCCACCAGAGGGCAGGAGGCACTGAAGAACTGGCTGGGGAAGGCTAGCACCCCCACCCTTCCTACTAAGGCATCATCCCTTCCGGGATCCCCCCAACCTTGCTCTGGATAACAGCTGACTTCACCTCCCTTGTTAATGCCCATTAGAGATTCTCTTCTTCACAAAATTTCCTTTTTTCGTTTACACTTAATTTTACTAATGAACAGAAGCTGTAAGTAAAAGTTTAGCATTAGTGTTATTAGAAGGCAATTTATATTGCAAACTGTAAGACAAGCTTTGGATACACGTGTATTCAGGTAACTAAGTGTAATTGCTCTGGTGCATGAAGCGCATAATGGGGTCTTTCAACAATAGATGGTGAGGTAATTTCATTAAGAGAGTAGAAACATGTGGTCTGTGACAACTTACCAAAATTCATGGTGTGGCCCCACTGAGAAAATTATTGCCCACCCACAGTTTAGGGAGTTTATTACTCAAAAAAACCACTCAGTCCTTGAAATATTAGGATAAAGCTAAACACAAAGCAGATGCAAGAAACAGGCCTGCTTAAAACCAAAACCAACATACTGGTAGGAGTGCTTCCGACAATCTAGGATTACACACAGGCTAGGTGGTGTCATGTCAAACAGTCAGAATTACTACAGATCCCAGGACAGAGGGGGATTACACGCCTGCTACAAGCCTCAGAGAGAGTTCAGCAAGTTACTAAATGCAAACATACTATAGTGACACCCAACCCCTATCTCCCCAGGGATTTCTAATAGGCCCATCACAGGGACGATATGAAAGCACAGGACCAGTGAATGTACCTCTCAGCACAGGATTTAAGTGGTGATGTACTTGTGTAGTTAGTACTGGTCCCCAGCACCCTTCCCACCAGGCCTGTTCTGGCCTCTCTAGTCATGTTTGAACTTTGCTGCCCTGCTCAGACGGCCAGGACACGCCCTTGCAGGGTTTTTTGAAAATGTAAAGTCTCCTTCCTGTTTGCTTGGTGTAGCATGTTCTCAGCACACCCCTCTAGCTGGCCATGCCTGCTCCGTGCATCAGGAGATCCCTGCTTAGAGCCATGCCAAGGTGCTAGACCCCACCAGCATTTGGGGAGAGGAGGCCGTCCAGCCACGATCAGCATGTCCGCAGATGCAGAAGGGAAAGGAGCCAGGACCAGGATGCAGCGCAGGGTCCAAGTGAACAGGCTGCAAAATGCCTGCCTCAAGGCACGCACCTCGGGGCATCCAACACCAGGCTGGGCGTGGGGGAGCAAGTGGAGAGCACGTGTGCGGGGGAGGAGCGGGCGGGTTTGTCTGTTCTGTGCGGTACCTGCGGACAGCGGCAGCCAGAGGGGAAC